GCATCGCCATCTTTTCGCCGGCGCTTTTTCTAGCAACAAAGGCATTTGGCGAATAGGCCTCTTCTTTAGTTGTGTAAAAATTCAATTATATGCATTACCTTTCATATAGACCATCCACACATACATAAACTCAAAGCACTCAAAAAAATGTTTCTAAGTCTCTACGTTTTTAAGAAAATCACTCTGTAAGTTTACAAATGGTCCAGAAATTAACCAACAAAAGTAAGCGTTTAAAACAAAGCTTGTATTTTTACAGAAACATCTTGGACTGTATTTAAAATATTCTAAATTTTCCCTTAGTGTAAGCATTATAGCCCTGCAGAAGGTTGAATGAATTTGTTTCTCGCCTTCGCTGTCTAATGACAATCAAATTAGCAGCATTTTCCTTGGCGCCAAAAACTTTTTCCATTAAACGTGCAATGTTTTTTCTGTTTTTACTTTATTTTTTAAACTCGCCTCAATAAATTGATTGGGCAAAGTTACGCTGCGTTTGGCTAAAAGCAATTTTTATGTTTTATTGTCGTCAAGCTTGGAGCGATTCCCAACTTGAACTGCACTTGGTCAGATAAACTTATTCCCGGCCACCGTCTCCCTTCGCCCTGTGTTAATCAAAATGTTTACCTCTAATTGAAGTTTCTTGTTACCGGTTTAATTTCGTGTTCATAATCTTATGCAGAACACACGATTAAGTTTAGAACAGTTTGCTGTGAGGAGGTGAATCAAGTGGGCGGTGATGATGGGGTCGAAATGGGGGCTTATCTATAGCCTTGTTTTACCTGTACACTATGGTACGAAAATGTATAGCACATTTGAAGATAAGGATTATTGCAATCAATGCAAATAAATTAATTTTCCCTTAATAAAGCTGCAATAAATCACTTAAAAAAGATAAAAATTTTACCTTTAAAGATGATATATGAAAAGTTAATAAACTAAATAAGGAACACCTCGGGGTCTTATAGTTATTGAACGCGCTGTAAATGTTAAACTGGTCTTTGCTCTGTGGTTGTTTGAAGTTCGTGGGCTCACAATGTACATGGCCAACGCGGCGGTTTGATATTAATTAGAAGCGTTAAGTACCTCCAAACCTAAGGAGACTTAGCTCTGACCTATAGAGGCACCCAACATAAACCCTCTTCCTAGGGCATTTACATATATACCAAAGGAACTAGAAGGGCCGAGCAGACATTTCCATTCGATAATTTATAATTTTTCAATCTTTTCAATTTGATGCCATGGTCGTGACTCTACTTGCAAACATTTCCAAACACCACCATCCTTTTCCTCTTTTCTTTCCGTCATTCATGGCTTATTTTATGGTATAAAGTATAAAGTACGGGGAAGCTGGATTGTGGGAGAAAGGTGAACAGTTGGCAGTGTCATCGCATCATAAACATGAATAATTGCGATGCTTAACGGGCGTTGAAAGCTCAGAAGACCTCAGACGGAAGATGAGTTTCCCCTTCAACTTTATTTAGTTTGTGCCTTGTGGTTTTTATTATACCTCTTAATGGAGAAAAATTGGTATATCACTGCAAAAATGACACAGATATGATAATCAATTAGTGCTTAGCTTAATTTAAGATTGCTATCAAATATATAGCTAAAGATCTCGCTCCTAATCTATACCACACTTTTTCATTTATTTTCCATATTAATATTGATCTTAGCTTCTAATGATTGATTGATTTTGGCAATACATATATATTATTGAGTTACGAGTACCTTGTAATGGGTACCTTACGGTCGAATCCTCAACCGACTTATTTGTTTTTGTACTGAGTGCGTTCGTGCGCAAGTTCGAAGTTGCCACAACTAAAGGACGGGGATTGGATGTTGGGGGCATACATGAAAAGTAGCTTAACATTAGACAGGACGACATACGACACTTGTCGGGCAGTTGGTGCCCTCCGCATCCTTCGCTTTCTCCGCATGCAGCTGAAGCCACCATTGACAGCCATCGAGTGTGACCCTTGAGGGGGTGGCTATGCCCGTATATATATAGAGGTGGATCGGGTGGGCTAGTGATATAGATAGATGGATAGATAGAGGGCTGACCTAGTCTTCATTTTGCACTCTCCGTATTGCAGTGTGCACTGCATCGGATGTAAGCTCCTTCAGAACTAGCTCCCCCGTCTACTCATTGCTGCATTTGTGATTCGATTTGATTTGGCTGAATGGATAGATTATGGTTACCATCCTATATGTGAGTCTGAGCGAAATCTGGGTTAGTTGGAGATTGTATCGAGTAAGTGTGTGATGCGATATGAGCTACAAACCAAAAATTTCTCAGGAATATTATGGCCAACAGCGGTGTGCAAATGTAAATGCGATTTGACGAGTCTATCAAAGTAATCTGGGGTGAATGGATGAGGGTTTCCACTCTTGGAGAGCACACAATGTGCATTTAATTAGATTTTGATTTAACAATCTCCTAAGCCAATTGGGCGAGTCTTCGCCAGACTAATTAGCGGTTTTAACGGCTTTGGGGTATATCTGAAATGTTATTCATAGCTGCTGCCAATTGGATTTGAGTTTATCTGCGGGATGGAGGAGAGTGCAAAGTTTTTACTCAACAATGACAAAAAGACAATGGCAAAACTTTGTCATTTCTGGTTTTTGTGGCAAGGACAATGTAACAAAAAACCAAGAGCAGGAGGCAGAGAGAAAGATATTGGTCAAACAACTAATAAAACTTTCTGTGGCATTCAAAAAGCGTATAGCACGGAATCCTGTTTTCACCTGACTGCCAAAAAAAAAGAGCGAAAATAGCCAACGAGAGCTGAAAAAACGCATACTATATAAATATTTTAAAAGTTGCGAAAATTCAACTGTACGAGCAGAGCAGAAAGAACAAATATAAATGGCAAAGCAAACTGAAAAATAATACAAACTAATTGCCAGCCAAATAAAGTTTATCCAACGAAAAACTGTTATAATGTGTATAACATTTTTTGCTCGGCCACTTTTCTTCGATTTCGTTTAAACTTTTCCAACAGCTTTCCGGGGGAAAAAAAGCCAGTAACGAACTTTCCGCAAATTGTTTGAATTTTTTTGTTCGCCGACCAATTTTTGTTCAGCAATTCCAAACTCAATTTTGGTTAGGATTAACGTTGATATGCTATAAAACTGGCTAAAGTAGAACTTTTAACTCCACCAGTCTTAGCCTAGATTTGGCCATTTGGAAGATCAGAAAGGTAGTTTCGAGAAAATTTAGTATAAACATATATAAAAGGGCGAAAATGAAGAAATAATAACTTATAAGATGAAGTTAGTTAGTGAAGTTCTCCAGCTATAAACTTACTAACAATCTTCCTTTGCTATTTGTAAGTTGAGTTTTAATCCCACTTTTATTAAAAGTCTATTAGACTAAATTACTTTAAGCTATAAATATACATAAATGCAGTATCCCGGGAGTATTAGAGACCACATTGTACAATATTAAACTGTATTATAAATAACCTATTAAATTTCCACTTAAGACATCAAAGTTAAGAGATCTCCCCCAGATTCCCTGCAAATCTAGATCACCTTAAATTTAGTTGTTTGTTTCCCCGTTGGAAATACTTTTATTAGCGTATAAAGCAATTTCCAACAGATTTCGCAACATAAATTATCAACTTGACGGGACAACTTGGGGCAACGGGGCGGAAGGATGTTCAGCTGGCCAGCCATTTGCTTTTGGCCACACGCCCATCAAAGGGTCGAATGACCTCCGCCCGCCACGCCCTCTGACTCGTGACCTTTTTGGCAGCATTAAAAGTGATAATTTTCACTCACACACATCCATGTCGAGAATTTCGGAGGGGGAGAGCCACTTGGAAGACTTTTATTATTTAATTTTGCCCGGCTTGTGCTAATAAATTAAACACAGCTCGACTAACGCCCACCCAAGGACTGCCTTTTTCCATCCCAAATCCTGATTTTAAGTGAAACGGGCGAAAGACAACTCATACGGCGTATGCAAAATGTATCCCAAAAGCCAAACTAAGGAAATAGAACTTTTTCAGAGGGGATTAAATGCCGAGAGTATACTCTTTTTGCCCCCTTTGTTTTGTGACTTTCAATTGGATTTCGTCATTGGTAATAAAAATCAGTCAAATCTTAAGCCAAAACCAGGGGACAAAGCGAAAGCGAAGCTAGTTTGAAATTGTTTTGATTCAATTATAGAGTTGAGCATATATGGCTTTCCCAGAGCTGTTTTCCTGTTTTATCTTTTTCTATTTTATAAATTAAGCTGCAAGCGACACAGATGGAGTAATAGCGAGCTCACTTACGCTTGCCAAATTTACATAATAAATCTATTTTCAATGGATTTTCTTGTTCTTATCCGTCTCTTTTTTATATATATTTTTGTTAAAGAAACTTATCTCCAACGAGCTTTGCCTTTGCGCATTCTATTTTGGTATCAATGGAACCATTATTATCCTTCAGTCTGCCCCCTCCCAACTATTCCCTCCCATCTCTGGATTTTTCCTTTATCCTTGAAGCTGCAGCTCCTCGAATATTTGGTTAACAACTCAAGTAGTGTGTGAGTTGGGGAGGGGTGTATCTGTGTGGATGGCAGTGGCATATTTGTTTCGCATAAAGATGCTGGAAACTATCTGTATCTCAATGAGCACATGTGTTGGTGCACATGTGTGCAGATATTCAACGCTTCAATGGCCGCTTAAAGTGCATATGCCTCCATTATTTTCAACCTCCCTTTGACTTCGCTCTTCAATTGCGTTTTAATGGGAGCCGCTATAAAAAGAATCTTCGTTTTTAAATGGAAAATGTTGATAGGAATCTAAAATAATGTTATCTTTAAATTGTAGAAAATATTGATATGTTAGAGATTTGTTTTTTCCTGTTTTAAGTTTCCACACTTGGATCAAAACACACACCCCCACCAGGATGAAATTATTTTTATACTCCATGAACATTGTATGTTGATATACTTACGCCCTTTTTTTATTTTTTATAAAAACTTCCATGAAAACCCCTTTATTCTTTAATTTTTATAATTTTTGTAACTTTATTATTATTTAAATTTTCATGTCATCTCAAGAGTCTGCAACTCGCCTTACACCACTTTTCTGGTTATAAACCATTAAACTAAATTTCTGCTTTCCTCTCTTTTTAATTTGTGTTTTTATGTTGTTTTTACTGATTTTTACTATATTCCATTTATTCCGAATTTGTTAATGCTAAGTCTCTTTCGCACAATCGTTACACATTTTCTAACGCAATAGTTGTCATGAGTTTCGGTTTTAAATGTATCCTTTTTGTTTTGCCAGTTATGCAGCACTCTATATATTATTTATATATGTACTTGTATTATTTTGCTAATTATGCTAAGTTTACACCGTTACATTAATATATAGATTTATTATTATAGATGTATGTATATGCATACAGAAGCTATAGACTTATACATTCTCAATTGGGCTGCAACTGGTTTCTGTTTTGCATTATAGTTTTCTTCCCAGCTTGGTTTTTACTGCCGCTAAATGTGTTTATAAAATTTACAAGTATTTTTAATAAGCGCCGTAAACTGTTTCACTTTAATGAGCTGTTCCATTGCTTTATTTTCCCTTCCTGTTTTTTCTCACGCCTATCATTTCCATTTTAATTACAATTTTGGGCAATTGTTTGTAAATAGTTGTAATTCAGAACGAAAAGAAATAAATAGATAAAAAAAAACGAGAGAAATTATGAATATTTGTTATACTTTCAATTGCCCCGCTTAACTCCTAATGGAATTTTTAACTATTCTCGCAGTTGGAAATTGTATAGCTATATAGAGGAGCTTACTGGTTTTTTATTTTGTGTGGGCTTATATACGCATTTAATTTTAATAGCTATATAAATATTTATTTAGTTACATAACAAAGTAGCTGCATGCTTACAATTAACAGTTTAATTTAATTTTGTTTTTCCTTTGTTTGTTTTCCGACTGACCAAAGTTTAGTTTCAGTTTTAGTTTGAGTTTAGGTTGCCTCTATTGTTGTTTTTTCATGATGGGGTAGCATCTTTTTACAAGTCTCCTGCCAAAACTAAGAGGAACAGCTGCCTTTCACCTGTACATGATTTGATTTTATGACTGCCATTTTCCATTGGACTTTCTGATTAGTTTCTTGGTTTTTCTTCTTTGGCTAAAAACTGCTTTCTCATATTTTTATCGTTTGAAAATGTATTTATATGGGAGTTTTGTAGTACATTTAATTCTGCGACTAGTTTTATTTACACACAATACACAATTATAATTCAGTCTTTGGAAGAATAACATTCATTTTCTTTTTCTGCCTTTGCGCTTCAAGAATTCTCTTAGTTTTTCCTATATTTATTTTCTACGTAATGCTTTTATACTAACGCCAACAAAGGGAAGAGAAGGGAACTTGTCGGTAACTTGGAATCGTATAGTTTGTATTGGTCCTAATTAGTTGCGAAATACAGAAAAGCATTAAAATAAATATAGAATATTAAACGACCAAATCTAATTTATTGTTTAAATAAATTACAGGAAAGTTATTACAGTTAATACTTGAAATATAATAAAATTGCTTACTTTAAAAAGAATATGTTACTTTTGTGGAGAAAGACAATAGAATTTAAACAAATACTAAAATAAATCTAAAGATATAGTTTAGTCTGAAATCATGTAGTATATGCCCTACATCTTCTTCTAAAAAGAGTACATATTTGTAATTATCAAGAAACATATATAATAAAACCATTCGGTGAACACTTTGCAGCTTAGTTTAAATTCCAAGTTAACATTCCTTGATAATGAGTTCGACAACAATCTACACTTAGTTAACTATTTACAGAGTTCTTTTTAGAAAACCAACTAGCAACAGAGTTTAGCAAGGAAAAGCTTCTGTGTGTATTGGATAGACACAGCTTTAACCCCAGACATACACTTAATGGCTATATAGGCTATAAATAGTTTAAATATATGAGACTGCTGAAACGCATAGGGGAAGGGATTTAGGATTAAGGATTCTGTGCGTTTAGAGATCACATTTAAAACGCACGGTCAATTAATGTCACACACGCAGCTCGTCCATCAGCGGATGTTGCTGCTGTTGTTGCTGCTGCTGCTGTTGGTGTTGCTGTTGCTGATGTTGCTGCTGCTGGTGTTGCTGCTGCTGGTGTTGCGTGGTGGTGGCCACAATCACTGGGACAGTGGGTGGCGTCGGCACCACCAATCCACCGGCCGTGGTCAGCACAGTGGTCATGCTTTGATTATGATGATTCTGCAAGTGCTGCTGATGGGTAACCACATGTTGCTGCTGCTGCTGTTGCTGTTGTTGCTGGGCAGGGGAATGTTGCTGGGCCTGGGCCTGCGTTTGTTTCATGCAGCTCTTTTTGGTCAGTGTACCGCATTGATTGCCCATCACTTGAAGGGCGTGTGGGGGTGGCATTTGCACCACACCGGAAACGCCCACCGTCCCACTGACCGAACCACCGCCTCCCGGATCCTGCAGAGATTTCATATGCTTCGGTGGCGGCGGTGCACGGTGGGGTATGTCCGCGAATTCCGGTGGTGGCAATTGGTGGTGTTGCATGGCATGGTGATGCGATAGTATAGTAGCTGGGTCGCTCTTCGCGTGGATAGTTAAGGTTTCCAGATCCCCGCAAATATTATTTGGCATCTGTCCGTTTTCCTGCCTTTTCAGCTTGGTCTGAGGCCTGGGCTCACTTAGCCGAGTCTTATCCCTTTGGTAATAGACTCCCGCAAAGATCAAGACATTCAAAATCAATAGAGAGCAACCTATGGCTATAGTCACACTCAAGGCGGTTGAGTAGGCTGCAAATCCATCATTATCCTGCGAAGCACTTGCAGCCCCACCGCCATGATCTCCATCCATCATATCATCTGGATATATCTTACCGCCTCCGTACCGAGTACCGTTCCTCTGCAGCGATGAGGAAGGTGAACTGAGATTCATTAGGGAAAATACCTGATTGGTAAAGAAGGTGAAGTTCCCCATGGCTGCCGCATTTGCAGCCCGAGAAGTGTACGGCGGATTCAGGGGCTTTACAGAGGCATCGCTGGGTATATTGTTGTCTTCGTCGTCATCATCATGGAGTTGGTGGTGTGCAGCGGGTACATTATCGCCACCTGGCTTATGCAGATCCGGGATGAGATTTAGCCAGAAGGACAGGCGATGAGCTCTATAATGGTTCTTCAGTTTTGGCTTGGTATCTACAGAAAAATTAGCAAGCCAAAAAGAATTATAATAATGTATTTAATATAAGACTAGGCTTAAGTCTTCAGATTCTAAAAACATCAATTAGTGGCACTTAAAATTTTATGTATAAGCTAAGATATAATGACATATTAGTATGCACACTAACCGAAATTGAGGTATTTCTTGTGCACACTTTCGTAGGCCGTCCATTCGATTGTTTTATAGCGACTCCTTTCCTGGCGACTGCCATGCTCCGTTTCCATTTGTTCATTTGGATTGCTGCAAATGGGAGTAAATTGTGTGTTTAATAGGGGATCCCAGATGGATAGTGCCATAAATGTGAATAGAATTGGGTACACAGGGAAAAAACAAGCAGTAAATTTAATTCATAATTTAAAAATGAACTTAAAGTAACAAGTAAGAGAAACTATTATATCAATGAGTGTCTGAAGTGACTGATAATAAACTTTATAAATTAAAAGTAAAAGATTTTTCCCCTGTGCATATGTTTGTGGTCAGTTAGTTGAGCCCATCTAAAATGGAAACCCGCAGCAGTCGGAATTGCACTTACCCCGTTCGCACAAAGTTGGCCCAGTAGAACATCACAACTTCCGATAGACTGATTTCGGTTTTGGTGTAGTTGCGCGTGAAGTGATTGAAACCGCCAACAAGTGGGGCACCGAAGATATAGGGCAGGTCCTCTCCATGGATGCAACCCTGGCGCTGCAAAATGCCAGAGAGCGAAATTCAAATTAAGTGCCAAGTTCCACAGCAGCCCTTTAAACTTGATGCCATTAGTATTAATGGGTTCAAGCTAAGTTTCTACTCAGAATAATAATTTATTTTCAGGTTAGGAGCATTCCCAAGAGACAAACGAATATTTTTCTACTTAAAAGCCAACTTTGAACTTGAACTCACCTGAGGATAATCACCGAAACGCGTCTGGTAGTCGAACACGTACAGGTAGGAATTGCGATGATCCGCCGAATGCAAATCCACCGTCTGAGCCGCCGGAGCTACGACCTGAGCATCGCTCAGCGCCTCTAGTGTTTCGTCCCTGTGGAAAATGGGAAAAAAGCGGGGAAAAAGCACAACATTAAAATCAAATAACAATTTTTCAATATTTGCCCGCCAGCGCCCTTCAGCTCGTTTGCAATTTTCCGGCTATTTTGCTATTGCCCTTCGCCAATCGAGCTGTGTTCAAGTGCGCAACTAACAAGCCACTTTGAGTGCTGCCACTTTCGTTGATGTGGCTCGTATTTACCTGTTTACCAAGTGGGGTTCTCAGTCCTGTCCTAAGCCTATTTCGGTTTTCCTTTTTTTCTTTACCCGTCCGATTTTCTGAGTTTTTTCTTATTTTTGTCTGTCTGCCCTTTAGGTTTGTAGTATTTTTTAGTTTGTTTAGCATTCGAAATGCAGCAGCGGAAAATTTGAATAAAACCCATTTGGCGCATTTGCATACATATCTTTTCAATGCAGCAAAGATGGAACCACCAGGAGTTCGTTCTGTCTCTCGCTTTTTATTATTTGGAATGTCCCAGGAATATTTAGTGTTTAACGAACGAGTGAACGAGCTCTCACTTTAAACGCTATTTAAACTACTCTCTTTGTTATAATTTTAGAGATTTCATTTGGTAACCTTTACCAAAGAGATTTTCAAAATATTCTCACTCAAAATTTTAGCCAAGTCAGGTCTTTGAGTTCAATAATGGTATATACTACGTCATATATGTACGAGTATATGGCCAGCGTTTCATTAATAATACAAATCCGAATAATAATAAAAATTTTGCTTTGAGATATTTTGCATTTTATTAAATCTCTATCTCTATCTATCTGTTTAGCTTATCATTTATTTGTGATTGCAAATTCATGTTTAATCAGAGCTCAATATCGAAAACTTTCTGATGGCAAATCCACTTATTGTGCTTGACATTAAAACGAAATGCTGGCCTTTCTTTATCCTCAGAAGCTGCACTCCCCAGCTGAATTTTCTCCACTCGGCACCTGTGATCAATGCTCCAAGGAAACGCGGCCTTTGCCGGAGGTGGAGCGTGAAACGCTTGCCGTGCTTCATTGCGGGCCACTTAACGCACGTCCGCACAACTCCGGGAAATGCTTGGCAGAGGACTGTGCGGCAGTGAAAGGCTGCATTAAGCATACGCCACGCGTTGCACTGGGGGAAATCAATTTGTTTGGCATATTTCTTTGGAAATATTGAAATGTAATTCCGCATAAATTATGCAAACACAAATAAATTGTTTGAGGAAATCGAAACGATAGTCGAAATATACAAACTCGTATATATCGAACATGATATGAATGCATTCTGTGTGTTGGCTGGTGCTATGTCACTTTGACCTAGTCGCCAACATAAATATTGATTGAAATCGAAAAATGAAAAGCAAATCATATATTTGATTGGGTTTGTGTGAGCGAGCAATTTCCATGTCACTTATGGCAATCGTTTGCGGACAAATTGCAGGCAAACATTATTTATGAAGACTGGCAGGCTAACAGACTGTCTGGCCAACACGAATGGCCAAAAAATTTGCATTTCATTTGCCATAAGATGGACATCAAGATTCATTTAAGTCACTTTAATTGAAACCTACTAGGGAAGTGAGCACAGGGGCAGGAGTAAGAGTAATGCCAAGAGCCAGAGATCGGGACATGCCATTGCGCATTTAATTAAGAACGAAATATTTATTTGGCACACACCCACCTTGCTACTCCGAGTCCCGAACACCTTCACCCCTTTCCATCTCCCATTCGGAATCTCAGGTTCGAGGGCCTGGGCTCCGCATACAAACGCAATTACTCACCGGATATTAATTGGATGCTGCACGGGCCTCTCCCAATCCGTATACTCATTGACAATCGTGGCGAATATCTCGTTCAAATGGAACGTGTACGTGTTGCGTACGTAGGCCTTTAAAATTCTCGACCGTCGATCCGCCTCGATTCCATATTGCACGTCGCCCGAATTGAAGCTGAAAAAGGCCTCGGCACGTGTCACGCCGGCCATCAGGTCGTATCTGCGAAAATGCGAAAGAGAAATTGGGAGTCAGTGTATGCACTTGAAAAAGGGTCTTGAGTTAGTTTTTAAAACTATTCAAATAAATGAGGAAAACTCCTCATTTAAGAAAATCGCGACTTAACTTTCCGGAAAATGAGTTTCAAGGGTAAAAAAAAGAAAATAAAATTTCTTAATATTTTAATATAAATAATATATGTTTTTCTGTGTGTAATATTGCTTATAAGAGAGGTGTCAGCTTTTCCTCTTGCTAACCCCTCACCAAGATGAGGTTCCTTTGATAAGTTAAGGGCGCCTGAGTGGCTGATTGAGCGGGTCGATTTCAGAGCATCTTCCGAACGAATTAAGAAATAAACTGAGGGCCATGGCCAAGTGTTCAGTTTGGCTTAAATTATGCTTTGTAATTACAAATTTGCAACCAACAAATTGCATTCCTCAAGCATCAATTCACATTTATCTCTCTGCCACAATAATTTTGCCCGAAAACTTTCATTCATTTGCTAAACAAGTTGAAGCAAGCCCTTGCAGCTAACCGCACTCTTGATAGAAATAAAACTTTGAGGCAACTCTTGGCCAAGAGCAGCTGGCGGAAGTATCTACCAGTCACTGACCAGCGCATCTACTTGCAGCATTTGCAATTTCAAATTTATTTTTGCCTTATTTGTTTACGCACAGTGTGCGATGGACATAGACGAAAGAACGGAGAGATTGGTAGGATGAAAGTTTTACGTTTTATATATTTGGCAAATTTTATTTGCTCTTTGTGCATGTGTTTAATGGAATTCCTTTTGGATACGCTCGTGTGTGTGTGTGTGTTCGGAAAATTGCTTTTAAATGTGCACAAAGAAATATTTATACTCCTTTGGCTGGGCGACCGACTAATAGCCCCCAGGACATTGACAGTTTACAAAGTGCAAAGGGTAAAAATTTGTTTTAGCCCCACAATGAAACACTCGAACTGCTGCTCAAAGCCAGGACCTCAAAGTGCTGCAATTTTCAACTCAAAAAGAGTTCTCATTAACTATTGACTGTGCGTTTGATTGCCTGCCATTCCAATTCTCCGTTAATTATCTATTCAATTGCAGTTTGCAATGGTGCTTGACTTGAATTGCAGCCAGCCAGTGATGGTAGAAACAATATATATATATGTATATATAGTTACCCTAGCTTAAAAGGTTATAGCTAACAATGTGCAGTAATCATGTCTTAACACTTGTTATAGCAGATAACAGATAACAGATAGATGGATAATATAAAGTATTTTTAGTTTAGATATTTACTTAATATTTTAATTTTCTTTCAGCTCAAGTAAGATTCTGCATTTTGTCTTTGCAATATATAACAATTTGTAAGCGTATCCTATACCTATAAAAATATTCAGTACTTTTCCCATCTCTGGTGGCGATAACCTAGTTAAGGGGCTAAACAGAAGAACCGCACATCAATTATGAAATCGCAGCTAATTAGCTGTTAATAATATATATTAACATTGTAAAATGGCTCAAACACAAAGTGCATAAATCAAGTGGCCCACTCCACTCGACTCTGCTCTCCAGAAATCCACAGGATCCGCAATGGCCAACAGCGAGCTGAGCATAACAAAATGAAGCCCAGCATTTGCGTGCCTAATGTGCATAAATTAATTATATATATGCAAGTGTGGGGAAAGCAGGTTTTGTGGCCAAATCTTATCGCTGGCTAAACTAGCGGCTGTTAGAAGGCTCCTGCCGTGGCAAAAGTCAAGATAAAACTCCTTTGACACCCAACAAAGCTGGCCCAGACTTGCCAAAAGAAGTCGCAACTTTAAATTAATTATGTCCCATACTCTGGTTACGTAAAGTTGTGCACTGGCGGAAAAACATCATCTAAGTTGGTGATAAAATACCTGAAGAACACGTTAAAAGAAGATTATAGTTCTACTAATATTAGAATTTAAAAGACTTTTCAGTCATAAGTACCCGGAATCTATTTAAAAATCTAAACAAATATATTTATGCCCATAAATTAAGTTATGTACATTTTTTCTTCGTGTAATCCTTCTATATATGAGTGTGTTTGTGTATGAGGTAAGAGTTAAGGTAAAAATAATTAAGCATTTGCTGGCCTGGCCCAACTTACCTTGACAACTTGTTAATGGCAGTTTTTCTCATTAATACTGCATTAATTAAAAAGTCCGCCGCATGTTGTGAGAGCGTGAGTGTTGTTGTTCATTCGTGCCAGCATATGTGTGAGGAAACATCGTTTTCATCATCATCATCAAGATCATCATCATCATCGTCAGCGGAACCCATTGGAGTCGTGTTAAGGAGAAAAATGGAGGAGCGAAAAATCCATTGCATTATAATTTATTTTAATTATGCAAAGGAAATGAAAGTAATTTGCGAGTAAACGAAAACGCCATCAGATGCACTAATAACTTTTTTAATGAATTTAATTAACCCTTTTCGACCATTTAACTTAATTACGCAACGCTCAATGTATTTTTTTACTGTGCATAATTGACTTAATTTTATTTCACTTTAAGTGGGAAAAATATTCATTAGTTTTTAGTTGTACCTAAATTCTTATTTAAAGGTTTTTTTAATTCTTTGCAGGGCAACGAGTTTAGGTAAATGGTTATTTTTACAAAGGCCAATTCCAGCTTTTATGTAATTTTTTGCATATTCTATCCAGGTCAACGTTTTTATAAAAATTAATCTACCAGTTGATTGAGTGATAAAAAAAAATAGTTAGAGCGCAATGAGTAAAATTCATTTTCCAATCCATTTGAAATTTTCACATTAGCTTTAATAATGTATATCAGAACATACCGATATTCTCAAGCTGTCCTGGCGTTCCCCATCCGCCTGCAGCTGCGATTCCCGCCTCTCCGCCCAATCCGTTCCCGGCGGCCGTCGATGCCTGAGCTTGAGCCTGAGCAGCTGGGGATCCCGGGGCAGGAGGCACGTAATCCCCGCCGTCGATGACTACTCCGTCGATACTGGGCCCGAAGGCAAAGCCAAACTCCGGCTGCCGAATGGGTACGCTGAGCAGCTGGTCCAGTGTCTTCTCGCGCAGACACTTCATGAGGTGGGCATGTGGGAGGTCGGAGGCGCAGTTTACGTGGTGGGCGACGATGGCCGCGTACTTGGCCGGATTGCTCACCAGTGACCAGGGGGCCAGGCCTGAACCGGACATCAGAATAGCTCGGTTGAACAGCAGGCCTTAAGGATGAGAAGATACAGGGAACAAGTTGTTGAATTTTGAGTCGGTTTTAACATTTAGCAAAGAATAACCCCTTCGGATTTAAAAATAAAGATCTCAATATCTTTTTTAAGTTAAGAAAGCAAGATTCATATTGTAATGTAATTAATTTCGAGTCGATGACCTTAGTAGCTAGTTACTCCTTTCCTTAAACTAGTCATTATATTTTCAATGCAATTACTAAATGTAATTTAAGATTTATCCACAAATTTGATACAAATATATATTGGAACATTCATAGAAACCAATCGGTTTCCTTAAAACAAACTCAAAGGGGCAATGATTTGGTTGATACTATGCATAGTAATTGGAAAAGTTTTGTAAAATGCTCTACTAACTCCTTGAAAGTGAAATTAAGTAATTAGTAAAATTTATTTTTCCTTTTCTCCAAGTGGCAAATGAGGTGGGGGCTATGCAAGTTCACCATCGTATGTTAACCACGTCAGTGAGATAATGGAGTGGTACTCACCCTCCGGCACGGCCATCGACGAGATGAGGAAGTGAACGCAGGCCGCCCCCGTTCCATGTCCTGCGAGGGTGATGCTGTTGGGATCCCCGCCAAAGGCAGCGATGTTCTCCTTGAGCCAGTGCAGTGCCGCAATGATGTCCATCAGCCCGTAATTGGCCGGCAGCTTCGAGTAGCGGTCCGTGTTGGCATTCAGAAAGCCTGCAAATAGTTGCCGGGTTTTTCCCGCACTTAATCAGCAGTTTCTGAGTTTTCCTTGCCGGGTGATTGGCTCGCGAATGGAAATTTAATCGATTCCCCGCGTACTCGTGCAGTCAGTCACTAGGTCGCTTTGCCTATTTAAAATGTCAAACGCCACTCTTTTTTCCGCTTTCTCCAGCGCGCAAAAATGTGCAAAGTCACGCGTGCAAATCATGATGTCAGCACTTCCGTTTCCTCTGCAACAACAGAGACGGTGGCTGGCTAGGGGAAGGGGTTCGAAAGGCAGAAAGAAGTGGTGGCTGGCGCCAAATGAGGTCACACTAATTTCGTTTGTGCATTTGAATTTACACAAGGTTTTTGGGCTAGGCACAGTGGTCTCAAAATTGAATATAGGTAACTAAGAAAAATTATAAAAGATAAAGCAAAATAGGCATCCAACAATCTGTTCTTAAGTAGTTAGCCCAAAGGCCCCTAATAAGCCAACTAAGAACAATATATTCTATTCTCAACTTATAAGGTCGTTTTAAGTAGTAGTAAAATGTAGTAGTTCTAAAAATGTACTTTAAATTCTTTAATATAAAATAATAACGTTGTTAATACTTGTTTATTAAAGTAAAATTGTCATATTTTAGCTCCCTCATTTGAATTTCCACTGCGCTGCTCGTGAATTCTGCGCCAGACTGTAACTAAATTAGTTAGATTATGGAATAAATGTTCGCCTGGTAGCTGCTGCAGTTGTTACAGCGGAAGTGCAGTTGATGTTGCAGCAATTGGGGATGGATGGGGAGAGGAGGTTGGCTGAGTGGGTCGATTGGATGGCGCACGTTCGCCTCATTGCACTGACCTCACTGGCCTGTCCGTCCGGCAGTCGTTCGTCCTTTTGGTCATGCACTCGGCATATCAATTAGCATTAGGATTTGAGTGTGCAGAGCACTTACCCAGCACTCCGAGGCGATAATTTATGGTTACCACCAATATTTGTCCATAGCTGGCCAACACGGATCCGTCGTAGGGATTGCCGCTATTCCATTCATATGATTCGCCGTGCACAAAGACCAGCACAGGATACTTGGCAGGACCTCCACTTCCAGCCGACGAGGAGGATGATGAAGACGACGAGGAGGATGAGCTGGAGCCACCACTTCCCGGTGACGAGGAGGAAGCCCCCAGATGAGGACGAGGAACTGCTCGAGGAGTCACGCGATCCAACTGTAAAATTCAGAGAAAGTAATATGCGAGACTTAATATAAAATGTATTTTCTCTTTCATAGAAAAATGAACTTTTTTGTTCCATAGCAACTTTGGTTTTATTCTTCACGATTTCTTACAGTGCATTGGAACGTAAAAAAAATTTTAATTGACAGCTGTTCAATGGAAGGAAACGACGGAGGTAAATTTTATAATAGGAAAGCAAAAATTGATTGTGTTTCCGGTGGAAATCCTGTGGAAATAATTCAAGCTTGCAACGAGGGAAACAATTTCCGAAGAAGACATTCAGGAACTTTGCCTTTAAAACCGCCAACTGAAAAGCCAAACCCATTAATCAAGTCTGCCTTAGAAAATAGGTAAACAAGGTATTAAATCAGGTCTCTTCTATTGACTCGTTTCAGGAACAAATGAGCGTCTAAGCCTCGAAAATGGCCAAATTAGAAGTAAACAACTCTTTTCCCGTTCGGCTTGTGTGACGAAATCCCAAAGTCATCGAAGGCTCTCCTGGTCTAGTGGATCCTATTTGGAACGGACACGTTTTGGGGCTTAAGATATTTACGTATTGAAAGGCTTTTCCTTAAAGGAAAAAACTCAGTGTATGGAATCGATGCCGATGCTGGATGTGAGCCTCCGACGACGCACATTTGGGGATTAGAGCGGACAAGTTCAGCCTGGCAGACAGGATAACTTTTTTTAAGCATTTTAAAAGGTAAGTTTTTAAAATTGAACTAAAGTTAAAGTTTACTTTGAAAACATAGGATATGTAACCAAATTTTAGTCCCTTCATTCTGGTAAAGTAACAAAAAGTGATGTGTTTTATGCCAATTTTGTTACATAAAAGAAATACAACCTTTAAAGCTTATAAAAAAATCAGTTAAAAATATTTTGAACAGAGAATCATTAAATCTAATCAAAAATTTTAAAAGGTTTCCTTTTTAATTTTTATGATTGAAAAAGTATTGCTCAAAATAAGGATTCCTTATTTCAATGCCATTCCGTTTCCCCAAATTTTCCCATTTCAAAATCTAAATTTAAGTTCTTTTTACTAAAGTCTTAGCTTTATCTTAAAAACTGCAAGCTGCCTCAAAACTAAGACATCACTTTAAGGCCACCTACAAGTAGAACTTAACTCTCTTTGCAGCAAAGAACACGAAATCGCTTGCAAAATGCAAACATAAATTTATCTTTAGAAAAGAAGGAAACGAGGAGGAAAGCAGAGTTTGTGCAGCTGCATCTTTGCTAGATACATATCGCATGTATCTGAGCACATGCTTGTATCTGAACTAGTCAACATCAGGCGGAGTCACCCCACTATGAATCCACCCACTTTGCACCACCCACCACCCACCGAACAAAAGCCACAACAACAAGCATAACAAAAGCAATATGAGCACGGGTTTCTCGCCTGCTGCCCACATAGAAAGTTCCTCGCTGGAACAAAAGAAGCTGCTTATCAAAGCGGAAAAAGAGTTGAGGAGGTGGCTTGGATGGGGGTGGGGAAAGGATGTTTTGGATGGTATGGATGGTATAGAGGTGGTTCTGTTACCAAGAGTTAGAAGAAGTGGCGAAACGAGCACCATATAAAGGCCAAAGGAGGAAAGCAAGTTACTGTGTCAGTGACTTTTATAAATAGCGCGAACAAAGACTGACTCGTGGCACGTGTGTGGACCTCGGGCAAAGAATCGAGGGGCATCTATGCCATATATAGACAGATACGTATTGAAACCTGGCCAAAACCCACAGAGAGTCAGCCCATGTGTGTTAACGTGTCACAGAATGGAAACCAATGTCAATATCTCTGGAAAAATTTCACGCCTCGATGCCAGAGCAGTGTCACAATTCTCACATTTCCAGCTAATTCAATGGGTTTTCCTCCAAATGTGGGAAGAATTTGAGCTCCTCAATGATTTTCATATTTCTGTTTAATTTCGATTATAATACATACAATAAGAACCAAACAATGAATGACTACGTGTTGTCCAATGTCAAATTTCTGCTAACACATAATTTTTAAATTATTCCTCAACGAATTTTAAATTTACTAAAAGAGGCAAAGGCAACTAAGCCCCCTTAAAGCCTATTTACTCCATAATCAGCTTAGATATTTTAAGCTAATAAGTTGCTAAAAAAAATTCCATTTATCTTAAACATTTAAATAATTTGCCAATTGCGGATTTGGCTGTTTAGCTAAGCAAACATCACCGCATAATTGACAAAATTGTCTATATTAGTTCTAAGAGAACTTTTAACTGTAACAACCTATAAATTCCAAGCAGGCCGCAAGTATTCAGAGCGTCCCATTCCAGTCATTACAGTAATTTGAGGCCAGAAAGGTTATTTCAAAAAGGGGAGACGAAGGGAAAGCCACGTAACATGCAAACAGCATTTAAAACTTGTCTCCAAAACTTCCGACCACCCGCACAAAAACCCGGCCAGAAAACTTTTGTTGTCATTTCAACAAAAATGGCGACGTTTTCTGCAAGCTGCAGCCCCCGGGGGATGCTACTTACAACAACCGGAGAAAAAGGAATTAAACTTTTATGACTGCCCCCGAGAAGAAGTCAGCACATACACAAAGCCACTGGAAAAATAAGCGAAGAATATAGTTTATAAAATGTTTTTAGAAAGCTTGAAAAAGCTAAAAAAAAGCGCTGGGCAAAAAAATTAAATATTATAAGAAACTAAATTATGATTTTAGTTTATTTTTAGTTATTTTTGTAAAATAGCTAAAAATTAAAAATAGATTGGGGATTATGGGCTTGGCGACTATACAATATATAAAATATATTTCTGACTTATCATACAGAAAATATTTGTTTTAATTTTAGTTTGAATATCTAATATTATTATCTCTGTGTACCCAACAGATCGCAGACAAACATAAGTTTAGCTGGGTCCCGCCCACGACTACCACGCCTTAAAAAACTTGTACTATAGTTTTTGTTGGGGGCGCTTGGTAAAAAGTTTGCTCCGCATAATTTTGGCAAATGTAAATATTTTGTAGGAACGCGTCTACAAATATGTGTTTGCCGGAAAACTAATGCGACTTTCGGGGCCCACTGTCGGGCTTGTTAATAAGTTGAACATGTTTTAATTTACATGCTCACGCTGAGCTCGGGTTGCCATTGCCAGTCAGTCAGCCCCATTTATTTGCGACCGGCAAATCACAACTTGGATGTCAACTTTTTAGGCAGCCCCGCCTGAAAGTTGCCACTGGGAGTTGTAGCTAGAGTTGGAGTTGCCGACACTTCTGTGATATTTTGACTGGCATAAATTTAATCATATTTGCGGCATGTGGCAAATGTGCGCTTCCTCTTTTCTCTGTCGGCTAATAGCACACATTTTCTTGCGACAATCAACCAAATTTTGCCAGTGTGTGACTAAATGAGACTAAAGTGATTGACACCGTTAAAGCAGCACTCTCTAAAGTATGGCAACTGGGGAAAAGATAAAGACATTAAGGCTGGATTCATTTTAAAAGCTACAAGAGATAAAGGAGAAAATTAAATAAATTATTCAAAAACACCAGCGCTTCTTAAGAGCGCTTTTTGCAAATATAATTTATGACTTTTTGTCGTTTTAAATCTAAAATATTCAAAATGTGTACTAGTTATATAGTGATTAGACTTGAGAAAAATCATTCTCATAATTTAAAAATTCCTGTTTATTCATTAAGATTCAATTGTATAGATAATCTATCTACGTTTTTAACAAAATTCATAAAATTTTAAAGGCTGTTTTTTATTTCCTTGCCTAAACATAAATCAAATAATGTTTATTTTAATGTTTTTCTTGGAATAACTCAAAGCCGCTTCCATGACACTTTTTATGTGTACACAAATTTGCTTTCACCGTACCCGCAAACAAAGTTTAGTTGACAAACCACTCGAGTATGTAGAGCAATTTGTTGATAATAAAGTTGCTGCTATTGAAATTCATTTTCAAGTATGCTCACACAATATTGTATTGCTTGTTTTATGGCACACACTTTCACACCCAAAACAAACTCAATAAACAAAAAAAAACCTAGCAAACTAAAAGCGGGCGGAGAAGGGGGTAACCAAGTCTGAAAACAGCCTTCAGGCAACCAAAAACTAGGTGAAATCAATATCCTCAACTCATTTTACTTGGCCTGCTGGCAGCCGCATTGTCCTCGTAGTTCCCCGACTTTTCCCCTTTTCCTTGGCAACGAAACAAAAAACCCTTTCATTTCCTGCTCCCTAAACAATGCTACTTGTGTTCGAAGGAAGATGCTGCAAAAAATCTAGTTCATTTCATTTTATGTTGGTTGTAGCGAGAAAATTTCATTTCGTTGAGCTTCAAGTTTAGTGTCGTCCTTTGTTATGTACCGAGTGAATTTTCAAGTACAGCCAATCCTGGTCAAGGGGAATTATTTAGCTTTATTTAGAGGATATTTTGTTTATTAAGTCTTAAGAAAAACTTCTGAAAGATAGAATTTAGTTTTTGATAAACATATTTTAGTTTACTTTACATGCTTTTATCAATTTTTTTTCATATTTACTCAGTTTAATCAAGTATTGACTATTATTTTGTGAAAGATCTTTAATAACTATTACTCACACAGGTTGAGTTTAAAGTGTTTACTCAACAAATTCCTGATCTCCATCAATTTATTTCCCCCGCATTTTTATACCTTTTGTTTTCAGTTTTTATCGATTTAATAAATTGCAGAGTCGCTGGAGCGGTGTGTGTCTTCAATTTAAGGTTCATTGGGCTCTCGGTCCGTGGAAATGTTTCGCCGGGCCCGGAGTTATCCAGGTGACACAGTTACGGTCACGTAAGCTTTCCTTTTCTATCATTATTTTTTCGACATTTTGCACTTTATGGCCAAGCTGCTGGTCCTGCTAACTTCTGAACCAAACCAATCCCAAGCATTTTCGCCCTGTCGTCCTGGCTTTAGGTGGCGAGTGCATTTTCGGTTTTGTAGTTTATTACTTTCGCTCAAGTTTTTCTTTCTTTTTCCAACCATTTTATGTTTT